CTCGCTCGTGTTCAGAGTCCAGCTTGGGGGATGAGGTTTGATGCTTTTTTCATGGTGTTTAGTAGGTAGCGAGGTAAATCTCTGCTGGCCCCAAAATGACCCATTTGCTGTCAGCCGAGAGGCTCCCAGGTTTGTGCGCTTCCCTGTAGGATACCGTGGTGATGCCAGAAAAGCTGGTGCCAGATCCGGTTTCATTTCTTGCTGGAGCAATGTCTAAAACCATGCCTCCAATTTTTTTTTTTCAGCAGAGGATGTTGCACTGAGCAGTTCCCCCAGGCCCAGCTGAGACCTGTCTGAACAAGGCTGCGGCAAAAGGCTCTCTCTGAAACAGCAGGTGCTTGGTGAGACCGGTCTGGCCAGGAAGACAAGGCTTTAGAAAGCCTGGGTTACTACTGGCCCTGCAGGTTTCACCCCATGCTCCTTGCTGTCAGAGTAGGAGCAGGATTGTGGTCTTGAGGCAGATACTGCATTTGGCCACCGAACAGCAGATGTTTTTAGGGTGGGTTACGCTGGGCACCAAGGAGAGAAGATGAGCCCACCAGCTGAGGCAGAGGTGCATCATTGCCTGTTCAACCTTTCCCATAGCATCCTTCCGTGAACATGATCTCCATCCTCTCTCTGCCTTTGCCGGAGCTCTCCAAGAAACTCCGGGATGGCTCCCTCCCTCCGGAGCATGTCTTCTACGCCTACGTGGGCAAGGTGAGGAGCAAGGGTGGTGGGTCAGAGTCTCACCCATGGTGGGGCAGGCTCTCTTGGGAGAAGCCCAGCACAAGGTTCAAACTTGGTTCAAATACTGCTGAGCTGTCCCCACTCGGTGGTCAGTGCTGGGCCCTGCTGTGCGTTTCTGTGAGCCAGGGGAGAGCCAGATGCCTGGCTGCCATGGTTCTCGGCTTGGTTTGGAGTGAATGGGAACAGCAAGCTCAGCATCTGGAGAGCCCATACCCAGGGGCAGGTATAGCTACAAGGAAGGTGTGGAGTGCTGCTGTTGCCTCCTCTCCATTTCCAAAGGGGTTGGTAGGCCTCAAAGACTTGTTGTCCACTTTCATTCTCTACCTTTGCCATAATGCCCTGATCACCTCCTGGTTTCACGCTTTGGGGATATCATTTTATGCCACTCCAGAAGCTCAATCGAGAGAACAGGCCTTGGTATTCTGCTGAGCCGAGTGCTCTGTCGCCTCTGTCCGCCACGCACCAGCTGGTGCTACGGCCCCGCCGTGTCCGGACCGTGTTTTGGAATTTGTCATGAAAACGTCTTAGCAAGGAGCCGAAAGGGCTTCCCTGCCACCCACTGCCCAGATGGGGAGGTTAGAAAAGGGGGAAGCGGCAGGTGTCCCCCGCAAAACAGCGGGCTGTTGCGCGCCACTGCGGGCAGTGTCTCACCCGCGGGCTTTGCCTGCTTTCCCCAAGGCCCTCCAAATCGCCACAGAAACCAACTGCGTCACGGAGTATCTGCAGGAAAGCGAGACCCAGCTCCGGAAAGCGAAGCTGCCAGGGAAGCTGGGCTTGCTCTACGGGGTGCCTGTCAGCATCAAAGACTCCATCGACTGCCAGGTACCGCCAGCGTGATGCCGCCTGCGCTCCGAGATCCCTGTGGTTTGAAGTTTGGGGGGTGGGAGGGGAGGTTTGACCGCAGCGTCTGGCTGGACATTATCGTAGCGATGTGGGCTGGCCTACCCTGGCAGGTGATGGGGTTTGCTGCCCGTCTCCCATATGAGCCGACAGATTTACTACCGACATGCTGCGCAACGTGTGTGTGATGGATGGGCTGTTGGAGGTGCACGCACATGCCTCTATATGTAGACAATACAGGGGGCAGGGGAAATTGTGATCCGCCATTTGTAAACCTCGTTGTCCTGTGTTCCCAGGGCCATGATTCCACGTTAGGGTTTATAAAAAACCTCAGTAAACCAGCGGCAGAGGACAGCGTGGTGGTGCAGGTGCTGAGGAGACAGGGGGCAATTCCATTTGTCAAAACCAACATTCCCCAGTCCCTCATCAGGTAGGTGGGCGCTCCCTCCCCTCCGCAGTCCTCCCTCCCTCATCTCAAGTGAGGGTTTCTATCAAGCCTAATTCTCACTTCCCACTTCTTTTTAAATAACCACACCTGGTCCCCATCCTTAGTGTCTTCTGAGTTTTACTTGAAAAAGTAAACACATTTGCAGTAAGGATGAAAATGAACTCTGGTTCCAAATGAAATAAAGAAGGAGAAGAGGAAAGAAATCACTGCCCTTCTTTCCTGTGCTGGGTGTTTTTAAATCACTTTTTTTTTTTTTAAATTAACCTCTCAGAGGTGGTCCTGTTTGCACTGTTAATACATATTCATGGCAGGGGAAGCTCGTTAGCTAGTTAAGCTAACGACCTTAAATTATGCTGCCCCCAAACCTCCTGCTGTGTCTGGTAAGACCACTCTTATGTCATTGATAAGGAGTGAGGTCAGGTGCACTCTGCTGGACAGCCACCCTGCTAGTGTCCCGGTGTCCTGCCAAGTGATCTCTGGCAAGGCTCCTCCATGGATGACTATTGCCCAGCCACACAAAAAGCATTCCTTAAGGTGACCTGGCAATGACTGACCATCTTTAAAAAAAAGCCACACAAAGAGGCTGCTCCAAGGATAATCAGATTTTGCACCAGTGTGTGGGGAAGTCCAGTGTTCATATATCACTGCAGTTGGCATTTGGCCTGTTCCCAAGCAGGGACTCAGCAATGCCCCCCAGGAGGGGCCTGGACCTGCTCCTGGTGGGCTGTTTTGGATGTCCTGTGGCACTCAGGACCGCCTGAATGGGGAGCCGTTCCAGGAGGCTTGATGTGTTTGTGCTGTCAGAGGGTCTGTCTGGGGAAGGCTTGATGACCTGAAGGTAGCTGGCAGTGAATTCCCATCCTGGGACCACCATGAAAAGGCTGGTGGTCTTCACGGGAACTTTGGGAATCTCCCTTAGACTAAGTGATGTCAATGTAACAGCTAGTGAATTATGCAGTTACCTTTTGGAGGTCTTTTTGTAGTGACCGGAGTCCACACCAGCAGCTATATACATTCCTTTCATTTGCACTCGTCTCTTTTTCTCTCTCTAGCTATGACTGCAAGAACTTAATCTTTGGTCAGACGTTCAATCCTCTGCTCTATACCAGAAGCCCCGGAGGCTCCTCTGGTGGAGAAGGGGCACTTGTAGGAGGAGGTGGGTCCATCCTGGGCTTTGGGACGGATGTAGGAGGAAGCCTGCGTTTCCCTGCTGCCTTCTGTGGGATCTGTGCACTCAAACCCACCGGGAATAGACTCAGGTACTGCGAGTAATGCAGTGATGTCTCTGGGTGCGACCCACCCATCACCCTACTGACCACTGTGCTGAGATGCTCCTGTGGGCAAGGGGAAACTTGGGAAGAACTGGGGAGGGCTCGTTTCTTCCTCCTGCCCAACTTTTTTTGGGGCCTGTATGGAGTGAAGCATTGGTTCCCCCAGAATGGAGATGGGGAAACCATGCTAAGGCGGTGGTTGTTTCTGACTGACAGGGCATAAACCATGCTGGCCTAGGTTGGGTCTCTCTTGGGCTTCCCCTTGGCCCTTCCTTCTGCCAACCTCTGGATCTACAAAGGGAGGGCAGTGTTTTTATTACCCCTTGCTACTGCTTAAAGCCTTTCCCTTAAGTGAAAACTACTCAACTGCTGTATTTTGTGTGTCTCCCTTCTTTGCAGTAAAAAAGGAATTGCTTCTGGTGTCCTTGGGCAGAAGGCAGGTAAGGAATTGATGGTTGTCCCTCAGGGAGGGAAGTAGGGCAGGGGTGGGAAGGACCATCAGCTGGTTAAAGGGGACCTTCTCCTACACGTTCAGAGAGGGAAGCAGGTTCCGTTTCAGGGACTCTTTCAGAGAGCCACCCTCGTACCGTGATTCCTGAGAAACTGGAAGATGCATGAGCCGAGAGGAACTCTGGCTTGTGTAACACATAAACCTCAACGTTCCCTGTTATCCCCAGGTTGCTGCATTGTCTGCCACTGCTTCGTGGGCGGTGGGATTAGCAGTTGAATGGGGTGTCTTATGTTGTCCTTGTGTCGTGATCAACAAAGCTTTTTGTTTGTAAATCTTGAAATGGAGGCATCAGAGCAGGTATTGATGGGTAACAACTCTGGGTCCATAACGACGGGCCTGGGGGTGGGAAGCCACCTGTAGGCAACCCCAGCCCGGTCCTCAAAGAGGAACTGTTGCCAACACTAGACTAAGTCAAAATGATGCCAAAAGGTCCTGCTTTTGCAGGACATGCCCTTGAAAGACCCCCAGACATGAATGCTCTCTTCTGCTCTCTTCCAGTGGTCGCAGCAGTGGGGCCGATGGCAAAAGATGTGGAGAGCCTGGCGCTGTGCATGCGGGCACTCCTGTGCGAGGACATGTTCAGCCTGGACAGCACAGTGCCTCCGCTTCCCTTCAATGAAGAGGTAAAGGACCTCAAGGGGTGCGAAGGATCTCTGAGAAGAGCTGCCATTGCTCGGGCTGAAAACGCCAGTGGCTGATGGGAGCCCTCCAGGACCTGTACTAACCTGCCACGTGTTGTGGGTGGGCACGTGGACGAGAGACTTGCTGCTTTCCAGACTTGCCCTGTGGCATGGGTGGTATGCTGTTGGCTTCTGACGCCGCTGACATCCTCCCAGCTGGCGCTCTCCTTTGCTCTGCAGGTGTATTCCAGCACGCAGCCCCTCCGCATAGGCTACTATGAAACCGATTTCTTCACCATGCCGAGCCCTGCCATGAGACGTGCCGTTCGGGAGACAAAGCAGCTGTTGGAGGACGCTGGCCATACGGTAGGATGTTGCACGAACCCAACAGTCATGCTGCATCTATTCTTCCTTCTTACCGCGTCTTTGGGACCTTTGG